AGCAGGAGAGGGAGGAGGAGGAAGAAAAGGAGGAGGAGAGGGAGGAGGAAAAGGGTTCCGAGAGTTCCGATGACGACGAAGGGCTCCGAGAACGAGGCACCAAGCCAGAAACGCGGAAAAACATAAGCGCAAATTCCGAAAACAACAAAAAAACTGCCCGAGGTGATAGGCACAGGCTTATGAAACCCATTTCTGATATTTTCGCCTGGCGAGCATTTTCCCCTGGATAAGGTACTTCCTCTTAAAGCGCCTCGGAGAAACCAGGGGTGGTCTACCTTTTACAGGGTCTGGCTATCATACATGCTCTAATGACGCAACGAGCAGTGCAATCTGCACACCAAACCATCAAGCCCGTTTGCAAGAGGCGGTGCGTCTCATGAGCCGCTTGGAACCCCTGAAGGGGTCCTCCACAGCTCAAGTTCACAAGATCACACCTGCGGCCACGACTATCTCCGCACCTCGCGCAAGTCCATCTTCCTTTGAAACTACGCACTGGATGCCCATTATCCTCAGTCAGGGTGAGACCGACCGGTCTCTAAACACACTCCTTCTTCTCAACATCGGCCCGTTTTGCCCTCGAGCAGCGGCGCAGGATGCGCAGCACAGTTTTCACTGCCAGCGCCGCCGCATGCTGACGCATCTGGCGAGCTCGCTCTTGAGGCAAAATCCCTGGGGTACATAGCTGCACCGCCCTTCGCGTAGAAGTCCGCCTGCATGTTGCCGTACCAAATAGGCCAAATGAATATGCAGCTCGTTCGCTTTTGTCTGAGACAGGTGCGAAGCAACCCGCTCGATGTCGATCTCTTGTGCGCCAACATCTTCAAATGCATTCCAGAACTGAACTCATAACTCTGCATACTGGTGATCAGGGTGTATGCCATAGGGACGACCAGCCTGCCAGCCGATGTGGAGATCCTTGAAATCCGTGATCAGGTGAAGCCGTCCTTGTGACTTGTGTAGTACGGCTTGCCTCGCCGCACACCACTCTGCTGCGCCTGACGTCTGCCATGGAAGCGGTACTGGTCCAAACGCTTGCGCTATAACGTTGCCATTTTCATCTATCATACAGAAAGCGCAGCCACATCGAGCTCGAAACTCACAGCGTGGAACTATACAGCTGCCATCCACACACAACTCCACTGATGAGCCCTGGCGCAGTGCACACATGCCAGCGAATAGTGCGGTGCTCAACTGCATCTGGTTGTTGAAACAGCGGATCTGGAAAGAGGCCCTTGCACAACATCATCGTGCACGGGTGGTCCTGCCCATATTCATTGCGTCCCCACATCAGGAGCAGTCGTTCATATCCGTTCCAATCTTGCCTTTCCTTGAGACGCCGAGCACAACGCAAACACCTGTGCAAGTCAGTGCCTTCCTCAACACCACATATTGCGCAAATCGGTGCGCCCGTCGTTTGAACTGCATGCACACTCACTCGATTAAATACTACTCCAGCCAACCACGTACAAAGCAACCCAGTTCCTTTGAAGTCTCCGTTGCGTCGAAGTTCAGCCATCTCTTTGATTGCCGGCTCCAGCATCGGCGGCCCAGTGAGCCTTTCCATCCCAGGACTGCCAGGAGCTGCCTCCAGAAGACGCCTTTTGGTGGATACATTGATCAACTTCCTCAGTGTGCCGACTCCGATATCATCCAAATCAATGTTTGAGCCGCGCTCTGTGAACCAAAGATTCCAACTCTCTGCTCTCCAACCATTCGCCGAAGAACCACGAGTACTGCTCCAGTTGGTTCCTGAGACGACTGCCAGGAGCGTGTGTGGTTCTGCGCGCGCATGAATGCCAGGGCCATCGCCTTCGGCTTGACCCACTGCTCCCGCTCCGCTTTGAATCAATACACCAAAGGGCACTCGTCCGCAATGAACGTCGGGTCTGACCGAGGACACTGCGACAACAGAAACTCCATCGTCCTGCTTCATCCTTGCGCTGATTCGAACTGAGCATGTCCTGATAGCGCTCTGACCCTTTGCAACTGCGTGTCGCTCATGCCCTGGACCTTCACCGTGTAACCGATCGATGCTAGGCCTCCAGAGCGGAAGAGCTTCCCCATTTGTCTGCCACCTTGTGCCAACCCCCGGAACCTCGGCACTCTGCGCCCTACAGCTGCAAGTCGTCCTCGGTGTGTGGGTATCCTTGCATCTCCTCCCATGCGTCGGTCATGTCCAAGCTGTCTCACCATTCTTGCCTGTCGGAAAGCCCAACACCCAATGCCACTTCAACTTCCTTAGCCATTCTCGGTGTGGTCGCAATGACGTGCCCCTTGTTCGGACTCAGCTCCAAGCCCAGCTTGACCAGGAGCCTGCACAACAGCTTCACCGCCGCTACGATGACCCGAATTGCACGACCCTGCGTTCGCACCCCACCCCCCCTCCCCCCAATGTCGAAGTTGGCTTCGGCCTCCCGGGGGCCCTGGGGGTTGGGGGTTCCATTTTCTGTAGTCCTCTCACGCCTGTGTTGCCGACTGCTTGGGGCGGCCAACTTTGATATCGGGGAGAAGGGGGGCGCAGTGTCGAGGGTTTCAATGTCCTGTCCATCTACGGGAGAAGGTGTCATTGCACGGACCTTGCAGACGTGCTGAAGCAGATTTTTGCGCGGATTTCTGTCAATACGAAACCCCGAAACGGCGAGCGAAAAACGAAGTGAATCTCATGTGTTTATTTCGCGGGAGAGCCCTTCCTATGCTCGGCGATGACGGGCGTCATGGGGGGCGGGGGGGGACGAGGGGGGGGTACGACGTAACGCCTCCCCCCTCGCCGTGTGGCTCCAGCACCACAGCCGCGCCCGCGCGCACGACGCGACGAGCGACGAGCGACGAGCGACGAGCGACGAGCGACGACGACGACGACGAGGACGACGCGAGCAAAATGTAGGTGGCGATCTGCCCCACTGCGCCTGTGTACACATCGCTCGCGTGCACCACAATGCGCGCGAACACCACAACACTTGCGCACAACGCAAGAACCGTGTGCAACGCAGCGCCTGTGTACACCACAGTGCTTGCGTACACTACAGCGCCAATTTACACGTGTACACCGCAACAACCGTGTGCAACAGAGCGCCTGTGTAAACCACAATGCTTGCGTGCACCGCATCGCCTGTGCACGCCACAGCGCCAGTCTACACCACAGCATCCGCGCGCAACGCAGCGCGACTGTACACCAGTGCCTGCGTGCAGGACAGTGCTGGTAATCGAATGCGACGTTGTTCCTTCTTCCCTCCTCCTCCGCTTCCACCTCCACCTCCACCTCACCTCCTCTTCCTCCTCCTCCTCCTCCTCCTCTTCCTCCTCCTCCTCCCCCCTTCCCCTCTTCCTCCTCCTCCTCTTCCTCCTCCTCCTCCTCTTCCTCCTCCTCCTCCTCCTCCTCCTTTGCCTCCTCCTTACTGCCTGTCGTGCAGGCGGCGCTACAGCGCACGTTCGCAATTCAGCGCGCAATGCACCGCATCATGTTGTACTGAATCGGTCCACTTGGTTCTCGCACGGCCAATTTCGCTGGAGCTGCCTGGACGCTGATGGGAGAAGTTAGGGTGATGCGGGCGTATTCGGGGGAACTCGTAGATTCCAGCGGCGCTCTTTTGTCCACCAGGATTATTTGGTATTGTTTTTGTGGAGTCCACACGCGCTCCATTTGTCATACGGATTCCTTCTAACATTCGATATGCAAGTGTGGCGCTGTGCTGCACACGGTTGCTGTGGTGCACACACGCACCGTGGTGTACACATGCACTGCAATGCACGCAGGCATTATGGTGTACAATAGTGCTGTGTTGCACACGGCTGATGTGGTGTACGCAGGCGCCGCGGTGTACACAACAGCTGTTGTGCCCGCGAACAGGGTGGCACAAACTGACGCTGTGTTGCACGCGGCTGCCGTGGTGTACATAGGCGGCGTGGTGTACACAGGCGCTGTGGTGCACGCAGGCACTGTGGTGTACACAGGCGTTGTGGTGCAGATCGCCACCTACATGCTGGTGCTACCCGTCCTCCGTCACTCCTAAGCATTCCCAGACGCCGCGGCGCGGTCCTGGCCGCGGCACTCAGCCTCCTCCGGCTTCCTGGGCCACGGCCGCGGCGGCCAGGAAGGGCCACGGTCGTTGGCGTGCGGGGGGCGGCCTTCCAAAACGGAGAAGCCAGAGGCCGTCATAGAAGGGCAAAAGGGGTCCAGCGCCGACCCAGAAATCCGCGCGCTGCTCCGCACCTGCACGTATATGCTGTTATCTTTCGTTGGAGAAGAAGGCGCTTTGCCGTTCCAAACGAGATCCGTCGCCGGTGTATCGAATTCGGAGACCGTTGACTCATGCCTGCCATCACGAGTGTGTGACGGCCACGCAACTGCGCAGTGAGCCTGGCGACCCTGGACGGGAAGCGGGCCCCGTGACGATGTCGGCAGAATATGCTAGCCAGTAACTCACGTGCGCGTGCCTCAGCTCCATGCGAACATGACCGCACATTGCACACCATGCCTGCGGCCCGTCTGGACTCAAGGACGAGTACCGCGAACTCATTCGCAACAAGAAACACTCAAGGGCACTGACGAGCAGCTATCTACACATGAGAAGAAGAAACAACAAAACGCCATAAACATAAACTGTTGGCGATCCGCGCGGATCCCAGAAATCCGCGCGGAGCGCCGACAGTATATATATATATATATATATATATATATATATGTGTTATCTTCTTCGAGACAAGCCACACTCACGTACACTGACGAGCAGCTGTCCATACCCGCGCGTGTGCCCTCGCTGCTGGGACGGGGAGGCTGCGCGCGGGCACGGAGCGCTGCTGGAGCCCGAAGCGCAAGGTCGCAGGAAGGGGGCCAACCGAGCGCCCCTGGCATTAGGTCGGGCCTGTCCCCCTCCAGGGGGATTTTGGACGAAAGATACAAAATACGAAAGAAAACAAATAATACAACAAATAGTCCCCAGACTGTTTTTTTACTATTTTTGAATATTCCTCCTGTGGAGGGACGGGCGCCCGACTTAACCCTGGCGAGAGGGGGCCCACTGCTCACAAGACGATGAGATCTCGCACACCGCACAAAAACGTCGTCGTCGCCGTCGTCGTCCATGTCCACCGGCATCCCGAGCGCCCCGGATCGGCGGCACTGGCCGGAGGCCACAGCAATATCGCAAACTGCACGAAGCAAATGATGACGGCAAGACATTATCGTCGCGAGGGCTGCCAAGAGAATGTGTGGGAATACCTCACGATGTGCCGCGTCTCCTGCCGGCGGGCAGCTGCCGCTCTCCGCGCTTCGCTTGCGCCCACCACCGCGGTCGGCAGAGGAGGCGGAGCTGCTCGTCCCCCCCCCTCACCCGATACGCCCACAATGCCTGACCCCAAGATCAGTCGGCATCGAATCCAGAATCTGCATTTAAGCGGAATGAGCGTCGGATCGGGCTGCATCGGCACGGAATCGATATCGAATCCGATCGACTGCGCCTGGATGCACATGAACGCGATACAAACATCGGGCCACATCGGATCCTTTGAATATCGGAGAGAGCGTCTTCGTTGTACGCTTCACTAGTGTTTTGTGTCGGGCATGTCCTCCTACAGGTGGATTTGCACGAACAATACAATAGTTATAAAACAAAACTAGAAATATGTTGAAAAATGATCAAAAAATCGTCTCCGTACTATTATGACTATTTTCGAAAAGAAAAAAAAGAAAAAGCCGCCTCCTCTCCGGAACCGCCCCCCCCCTCCCCAGCGAAAACACCCCCCCTCCCACCCCTCCCCGACCCGCCCCCTCCGAAAGCCCCCTTCGGGAGGGGGTTCAAACACCCCCCGTCGCCGCGTCGTCGTCGTCGCGGGCGAGTCGGTCGGGCGGGCGGGTTGGGCACGTCGTCGCCGTCGTGGCTTGCCGGCGCCGGACGTCGGTCGGGCGGTCGGAGCACGTCGTGGACGTCGCCGCGGGCGAGTCGGTCGGGCGGGCGAGGCACATCGCCGTCGTCGTCGTCGTCATCGTCGTCGTCGTCGTTCTCGCCGTCGGCATCGCGGTCGTCGTCGTCGTCGTGGGCGAGCCCGTCGGTCGGGCGGGCGCGCGGGACGCGTCGTCGACGTCGTGGGCGAGTCGGTCGGGCGGGCGGGCGGGACACGCCGAGTCGTCGTTGCCGTCGTGATCTGGTCCTCGTCGTCGGTCGTCGTTTGCTGGCGCCAGGGAGGGATTCACTCTAAGCCCTGGGAGGCCAGAGGTAATTAAAGGCATGATGTTTTTTTCCGGGCGGGAGGAGGGCGGACTGGAGGAGGGGGAGGTATAGGAGGGAGTGGTGGAAGGCAGGACAAGGAGCGATGCACGATCGCCGATTCACATTTTGTGGTGAGCCACTGCTTGCTTCATTAATTGATGCGCTGCTACGTAGCATTTGCGTGCGCTTCTCTGCTTTGCCGTTTTGCTGCTTCTTCACTGTTCGCTGTGGCGATCGATGCCCTGAGTAACTCATGCCTGCCAGCTCGATGCAAGTGTGGGCAGCACATCGCACAAGAGAATGCAACCACAAACGAGTGCTCCAAAATCGCAAGCGCCTCGCGCGCACGCGCTGCAACGAGGATGCGCGACGCGCAGGCGCCGCCACCAAAACGTCGCCATGAACACAAAAGACAGACGACGCGCGAGCGCGAGAGGCCTCCCTGTGCAGGAAATCCCAGAATCGAATGGATAAATCGGATCGGCGATCGAACTGAATCGGATCAGCGGAAATCGGCAGCCACGTCGAGAGAAGTCGAATCGGCGGAAATCGGCAAGCGAGTATGCCTCCAGTAAGGAATCGGAGCCCAAATCAGAATCCGAAGTCGAATCGAATCGGAATCGGAGGCCATCGAAATCGAATCGAATCGGGAGAATCGAAACGAGCCCTGCCTGTGCGCCATCCCAGCGCGCCAGCGCGGCGATGGTGCCAAGCCCGCCTCAAGCGGCCTCGAGTCGTCGCCCCCATCATCGCTCGAGACGCAGCGGGCCCCCAACAGGCTCCGCAGGCCACGAGATGATCAGCGGCGCCCCAGGGATCCGTCGCAGCGCCAGGGAAGGGAAGGTACAGTCTTGTGGATGCCGTGACAATGGGCACCCTAAGAATCCGATCAATGAATATAAACATGCGTTCCAAATGTAGGAACATGTTCTACCACTGTTTTAAAACATGTGCTTGACACGTTTAAGACATGCTTAATCACATTTGCAAACATCTGGGAATTGTTTGGCAACATGCTTCCACTCCATGAATCGTCGTCCACAAGTGCCGTCAACCCGTACGGTCAGCATGCGCAGTGCTGTAGGAGCTCGACCACAGGAAACCTCCAACAAGAAAAAACCCAATCCTGAGACCCCAGGACGTCCATGGTTTTTTGGGTGTGGGAATGTCACGGGTTTCCATAGCAAAGCCATCGAAGCCCAAGAAACCCAGGGCGCCCTGGAGGCAAGCAGGGTGTTTTTTCGGCATGGATTTCCACTGCAAGGATGCGTGGGCCTTGGAAGGCCATGCCCACACTTTGCGGGCAGGGCGCGGCCAGCGAAAGTGGCCACGGATGGGCCGAGAGAGAAGGGTGCAAGAGCAACCTTGGAACGTCGCTCATCCTTACAATAGGGCAGTTTTTTAATACATGGGTTTTGAAACATATAGGACTTGTAATACATGATTAATTCATGAATAAATTTATGCATGAACACATCGTTGTTTTTAGTACTAAGTCCTTGCATGTTTAATACAAGATCCGCACGCGGAGCATGTATTGAAAACGGCACTGTATGCGGGTTGACTGTAGAGGGCGGGCCAGGCGGAGCCGAACCGACACGAGAAGGTGGTCGGAACGGGGGGCCAGCCCAACTCAGCAGGTGTATAGTGTTCCTCGCGCGCCCCACCTAGGGGCGCGGGCGGCCGTCCCCGAGAACTGCTGGAAGGAAAGAATCGCTGCCCCCACCACGTGCCCGGAAACGAGCAGAACGGTCGCTTGCAGCACTATGTGCTGAGTCGCGTCGGCGTGTTTGTTGTTCAGATGCTGGTGCGAACGTTGCTGCTCCTTGTGCTGCAGGTTGTGCTGCAACACAGCTGCTTGCAGCACTATGTGCTGAGTCGCGTCGGCGCGCTTGCCGTTCAGATGTCGGTGAGGGCGTTGCTGCTTCTTGTGCTGTAGGTGGTGCTCCGCATGTTTCTGCGCGTGGTGCTGCGTAAGTTGGCCCATGATTCGTCCCCAATGTTGCTGGGGATGTCGCCTCAAATGTGGTCGCACAATTCGTCGCGGATGTCAGTGCGCGCTTCAATGATATGCCAACATGCGGCGTGCAACTGTGATCAACACGGGGTGGGCCATTCGGATCACCGGAGGTCACTGATGCTGCCCATGACTTCGGAATCGAAACGCAAGCCGATGCGACGCCGAGCGCATCGAGCACCCCCGCGCGGAACAATGAACATCGCTAGTCGAAATGGCTCCTGATGATGTCGCACAATTGGTCAACACAACACACATGCGCGCAAGAAGAGAAACAAATTGCAACCGGACAATATACTCCCCGCTGGACCTCCCAGGACCCCACAGACGTGGCGACAGTTGCGCAACCGGCAACCTCCCAGGAAACCGCGAGGTCTCGCCTGACTACCACCTCCGCTGGACTCCCGAGGTGCCCACGGAAGTGGCGACAGCTGCGCAGTTCGCCACCAGGAGGAAAGCATTACAAAAGAAGGAGGAGGCAGGAGGGAAGAGAAGAGCAACGGAGACCACATTGCTCAACTCAAAGCGACAACCCAAAGGAGGGTAAAGGGAAAACAACCAGCCCCCCCCGCCTCCGTGTCCATCCGTCAGCCCCCTCTCCCTCGTGCTGCTGGCAAGTTTGCCGTCGCTGCTGTATCCCTGGCTCCTCGTCCCTCGGATCCCTGCGCAGAGGCAGCCAGCACACATTGGCGTCTACCCCTGTGAGGGGCGCTACGAGGCCATTCGAAGGCACGCCTGTCGCGCTGGCGTCGCGTACATGTCTGGGCCAGGGGATGTTCACGATGCATGCGTCACGCCTTTCAATGAAAGCCACATGAGGCCACATGGAGCCACAGCGTGCTCCAGGACGCCCCGTGAGGCCAGGCTCCAGCAAGATCCAAAAAGTATCAGGCCCAGGCTGCAGGAAACCCCAGGAGGCCCACTGGCGGTGACGATGACGATGGTAAGCATTGCCATGAAGTCTCAAACGCAACGTTCAGGTCGCCACGTACGTCGTAGCACAACACAACATCAAGATGCCCTACCCCCCCGAGACGACCGTGGCCGATCGAACCGGATCGGATCGGATCGGTTCTATAGCTGGTTTGTCTGACGTCGGCTCATATCTCTGAGGCGCCAGTGCTCAAGGCCCCCGGCAATTCGGATTTCGCGTGGCCGCGGGGCCCTGCGCCCCTGGCCACTCAGTATCTGAATGGCCAGAGTTCGCGGGCCCCCTGCGGCCACTCCAAATCTGAGTGACCAAAAGCCCGCGGGAGCTCTCTTATTGCTTTATCCTCAATGCGGGGGGCTTCGGGCCCCCGATCTATAAGAATCTGAATGGCCGGAAGTCCCGGGCCCCCAGGCCATTCCACATTTGAGTAGCCAGTGGCCAAGGCCAATTTCGTCATTCGTTTTTCATCATTGCAAAGGAGCGCGTCTCGCGGCCACCCGTCACTCGGAATCTGAGTGGCCAGAGGTCGCGGTCCACCGGGTCATTCCTAATCTCAATGACCAGGGGCCTGGGGCAGCTTTCTTACTGGTTTTCCTTATCAGGGGTGACCCACTCACTCAGACTCTGAGCGGCCAGGGGTCCAGAGCCCCCCAGGCCACTCCACAGCGGCCCTCCCAAACTCTGAGCGGCCCCCCTGCGCCCCTGGCCGCTCAGAGGTCCGGAGCCCCCGAGCTGAGCTAGCCGCCAGGGGCCCACGGCAATTTTTCACTGGTTGTTCTTTTCTGAGGTGCCTCCGCGGCCTCCGGCCATTCAGAATCTGCGTGGCCAAAGGTCGGGGACCCCCCGGCAATTCCAAATCTGAATGACCGGGGCCCGTGGCAGCTTCCTGATCGGGTTTCCTCACTGACCGGGGGCCCGGTGCAGTTTTCTTATTGGTTTGTCCTCGCTGGGGACGGGGGCCCCAAGACCCCCGGCCACTCAGAATCTGAGTGGCGGGAGGTCGGGGCCAAATCGGACTCACCGGATGAAGAGGAAGAAGATGGCAGAGGAAGAAAGGGGCTGCGACCTCCGGCCACTCAGATTCTGAATGGCCGGGGGCCACAGGCTCTGCGAGCAAATGATCTCATGATCGGGCCGAATCGGATCGGTTGGTTGAGATCGATCGATCGAGCCGGGTCGGAGGGGTACCCTGAACGTGGAATGACATACACCATGTTACCGCACACCAGCGCATGACAGACGTACCACAACAAAAGCTGGAGCAGTGCCTTACAAGACATGGATCCCTTAAGATTGCAGCCGCGGCTGTTCGGCCTAAGATGACCTCGTGAAGGCATCAGGGAGCTCCAAAACTGGCCATCGCTCGGACGTCCATTCCCTGTGTTTTTTTCGGTTTCGTGCGTGCTCTTTTCGCCAAATGATCAAGGATACTTCTCGATGGTCCTCGCCGAAGGAAAAATGCACACGTCCGAGCGGTGCCAAGAAAAACGCCTCCCAGGAGGGCCCAAGACGGCCCCAATACGACGCGCGGCTACCCCATGATAGCCCCTAATGGCCCCGAAAGGGATCCGACAATGACCCCAAATTCCGGCCAAGCGGCACCAAGATGGTTCCACCGAGCTCCGTCGGTAGAGTTTGGTATGCGAATCAAACGCAAGGCAGCTCTGAGTGCACAACTGTCTTCCAGCAGACCCCAAGAGTCACCGCTTCCAACAGCCACCCGAAACATCCAATATACACAAGACACCTCCAAAACCCAGACACAACAAATGCGACAATCATGCAAAGGTAAAGCCGCGCCACGCTACATCGATGCGATGCGTCCCAAACGGTCCCTATCTGGTTATGCCGAAACTGCTAGAAGAGATCGGTAGAACACTACGCTGGCATTCTGGCGGGGTTTGCCGCTAGCACGGCGTGCAATTGACAACCAATACTGCGAGTGACTGAGAGTATTGCTTGGTAGCTTCCCTGTGGAAGAACATCCCTCGAGGACACGCCTCCTCCTCCTCCTCCTCCTCCTCCTCCTACTACTACTACTACTACTCCTGCTTCTCCTCCTCCTTCTCCTCCTCCCCCTCCCCCCCCTCTCCTTCTCCTCCTCCTCCTTCTCCTCCCCTCTCCTTCTCCTCCTCCTGGAGGACACTCCTCCTCCTCCTCCTCCTCCTCCTCCTCCTCCTCCCCCGTCCCCCCCCGCGTCCTCCTCCTCCGCCTCCTCCTCCTCCGAGGCCCTCCGTCGGCCCAAACAAACAACACGTCCGAGGGTGCCCTCCCCAGGATGCGCAGGGGCAGCCAACAAGCATGGAAAACACGAGGGTACCCTCCCCCGAACCGACCTCGATCTTGTACCTCTCGGGCCGGGCGAAAGGGGGGGATAGCAAAGGGGGGGGTAGAGAATCAGCTCACGTAGCTGATTTTCCCAGCGCCTCCCGGCGCCGGAGGGCGTCCATGTATCGAGGAATGGGCCCGGCGGCGGGGCCGAAACCAGCTGCATGCAGCAAATTTCGTAACCCCCCTTTCCCTATTCCCCCCCTTTCGTTCGGCCCGGCGCATGAGCACGGCTTGCTGGGGGCAAGGGGACGCGGTGAAAGGAAAAGAAGGGGCCACGAGACCTGGGATATTTTATGGCGCCAGCCATGGTATGCATCCTCCCCTAGTCCTCACCCCTCTTGGACGCCCCCGAGACTTGCTACGTCGTACCTACCCCCAGGATCTGCTGAAGGGGTACCACGTGCTACAGCCCTCCTGGGCCCCGGGGAAGGTACTAATCACGTGCTGATGACCTCCTCCAGCCTGCGCCGGAAACCACAACTTATCCCCCTGATTGGCTTCTGGGCGATGCTTGAAAGGTCGCAGCACGGGGTGTTGCTAACTGCGCCGCGGACACCCAATCAATGGCACTGCGAACTTAGGTGTAATGAGAGTCGTGCAAGAACCTTTCCGAACCACTTTGAAATGAACCTCACAAGCGCCTTGCGTCGTGGTCTATCGCCTGAAAGTGCACTGCGGCACTGCGCTTCACTCTTGAAATGAACTGGCAAACATGCAATCCGACAAGAAGAGGGGCATGCGCTGGAGAGCGCCCAACTATAGCCAGCCTCGAAGTCGACCACATCGATATCGTTGGCCTGTGTCCGTGGTCAGATGGATGTAAACTATAGTGCAACACAAAGATCAGTTATGGGCTCGCACGAGGAGCTGGCAGAAATATCTGGATATACTCAATGCGTATGGCAACACACAGTGTATACCTCCTGCATGTTCGCTAAGGTGTGGCAAACACTATCCAACTGCTTCGGAACGAAGTGCTCGAAACGCATGTCAAGAGCAGTGCCCATCTGCAGAACGAGACATACCGCATGAAAGAAAGCGCTCAGGAGCATGGCTGCGAACATCGTTTGCCTCCACATGCTGTTCCATTTTGTGGGCGGGTACACATGTACTCCGACTGTCACAAAACAGGGAGTGGGTCGCAACCGTCCTTTAAAGAAACCAATCATACAATGGCGGCCTTTTGCCGATACCACCTGGAACCCTGCAATACAACTCAAGTCAGACCCCTCCTAGATCAGACCACCGCCTCAGTAGTGTAGAATCCTGAGTACCCAGTGGTTTTGGCAAGCGCCGCAGGCTGCCGATGCTCACAGTGGAGCGCGCAACAAAAAACAATCGACGACGATCCCCGAACAATGTCCACATCTGGTCAAGAAAACGAATCGACACTTCAGAAACGCTCCATCCGGACTGTCTGGAAGGAGACCGAGCACTCCGTGTGGACGTCCACATCACTGTAATTAGACAGGACCTGAAAAAGACTGGGCGCGACAAATCCGAGAAAACTTGTCAGGTGACTCCAGAGATTGGGGCCGACGCCAAGCGCAGAAAAAGGGGGAACTTGTTCAGCGAAGCCCTCGTGGGAGGGAAGACTGGCATGATGTTTGGCATTGGCAGGCCAGACCAAGTGGTACAATATAAACCAGCACATGCACAAATTTTCGGGGGGCCTCGCGCATTTCTGAGATCGGCGCTGGGCCCCCTGGCGGCGCCTGCAGCGCCTCAGGCGAGGTCCGCGCGACAGGGAAAGGGGCCCAGCGCAGATCCCAAAAATCCGCGCGGACCTCCAGAAGTTTACGCTTACCAAGGCCGAAGAACAAGAATTGTCAACCGTCCTTGCCGAGCTTCACGTAATCGTTGAAGGCCTCGGAGAACATGCCGTTGCCCATCGTCTCCTGAGAACGGATCTTAGCTCAACCGCCCAGCCGAGACGCAATGTGTCATAAAACAAGTGGCGACGCAGCAAAAGCGACTTCATCCGCCGACCCGTTGGGGTTCATAGGCATGTGAGATGTTTCCCCCTCCCCAAACCCTCCGCGGAAAGCCCGGTCCGCTCGATTTCGAGGGTGGGCTCCAGGAGGTAGGTGAACGCATCCGGGGGGGCAGAGGGCCCCCAAACAGGTCAACAGGATCCTAAGATGCATTCGGACCGGTCCGCGAAGGCCGCGAATCGCCGAAAGATTAATCCAAAACGCCCATGCTGGACTCCAGAACCCACGATGCCCTCAAGACGCCCCGAGAAGCCCCCAAGAGGCGCCTCAAAAGGGCCTCCAAGTTCAAAGCTCGTCCCATTCCCCGGGGAAAACGTGCATTTTTAGCACGGCCTCTTGGGGCTACGTCCCAGACGGCACAGGAGGCCGTCAAGTTCGCCCCAAAACATGCCAAGAGGCCCCCAAGGGGGCTCCCAGGCGACCCAAGAGGGCCCCAAGACGGCCCCCCAAAAACCATAGACGGCCCATGCGGGGCACAAAACAGCCTCAAAAAGGGGCCCTGAGGGGGAATCCGAACGGACATTTCGAGTCACCCATCTCATGACGCCTCCGGTTTGCCCCGAGAAACCCCCAACAGGCCCCCAGGGAACCCCAAGATGGCCACAAAAGAAACCTACGGGGCCCCCAAGAGGCCACCAAGAGGTTCAAAAACTGCCTCCAAGACGCCCCCGAGACGCCTCCCTCGGGACCCCATCAGCCAGCCGAGCGGCCTCAGACCCGCAACCCAGGCACAGTGGCGCGATGTGCCGATGACCATTCGATGATCATTCGTCAGGTGTTTTTGCATATGCCCTCCGTCTGTATGCGTACGTGGGTTCTCGCCCGTTTCCCCACGCGTGCCCGCTATCCTGTGACGTACCCAAAGCATTTGCATCAAGTGTCAAGAACAGTTGGCCCAAACTTGCCAGGACATTGACAGTACAAGCGATGTTAGACGTCATGCAAACTGCATGGGATGCGCCCACGTGGCACGATTCACTAAACAACATGAGGACGAGGAGCGAGGGCCCAGGCCTGATGAGGACATGGGGGCGGGAACGAAGGACATGAAAAGGACGCGTGGGGGGCCGAACCGTCGGCGTGGAGCAGCAGAGGGAACGTGGCGGGGGGCAGAAGAAGACGACGACAATGACGGGAGGAGACCGAAGAGTGTTGCTTTTGTCGGTAGTACGCTACAGATGCAGCGCTGCCTGCGTCATGTCGCCGCGGCGCTCGAAACAATTATTGAACCTGGTTGTAGTTTGCGCAAGAACTGCGCTGGTGCCGCCGCGGCAGCACGTACCGGATCTTTTCCCCTGGTTCCTCGTCCTCGTCCTCCTACTCCACCTCCTCCTCCTCTACCTCGTCTTCACCTTACTCCTCCTCTCGGGGGCGCGCAAACATGGATTAGCATCCATGGATTTGGCGCACGGTCGCCAAATCCATGGATCGGGGGAGGTGCCCTCACCAAAATGCGGCCGGTGCCGGCCCCGCTCGGCGGCTGAAAGCAGCGATTTCCCATGGAAACGGGACCCGTCGCTAATCCACGCCCCCTTGATCCATGTTTGCGATCGTCTGATCCTCCACCTCCTCCTCCTCCTCCTCCGCCTTTCCTCCTCCGCTGCCTCTCGGCCCCTCAAAATCTATCCCTGCACCCCTGCCTAGACGACTCTGAGGACCCCAGATCTCGAAACAACCCCCAGGTAACAGAAAAAGGCGTCACTCCGACTCCGTTGAACCCCAGGGATGGGGAGGCCTCCTGGTAGTCGCGGCCCTTGGAAGTGCCGACAGTTTTGCAGATCGCAGTCCCACATGGATGGCGAGGTCTCATCTGAATCTGGGTGAGACGTCACTCCGTTGGACCCCCATCAGCCCTCGAAAATGGCGACAGTTTGGCAGATCGCAGCCCCACAGGGATGGCGAGGACTCCTGGTGGTCTGGGTGAGACGTCACTCCGCTGGACCCCCCAGCAGCCCTCGAACTTGCCGACAGTTTTGCAGATCGCGGCCCCCCGGGGATGGCCAGGTAGGAGGCGAACTGACACGCAGGAAGGAGCGAGGTGAGAGGCAGGAGAGAAGAGGAGAGGAGGAGATAGGGAGGCAACATCAAACCTGTAAAGCGTACCCACCCAAAGTGAGCCAGTAAACCGTACCCACGTGTGGAGTGTCGCCCATTGATACATCATATGTAGAGCGACTGATTGCTTACCTGCGTTTCATCATCTTTGTGGGTAGACGGGAGCTCTAGTTGTCCGTCCATCTGGCTTTTCGTTGGGGGGTGGTGGGCTTCCCCTTCCTTTTGAAGAGAAGCGGCTGACAGAGGGCGGAAGTCGGACATCCTACAACACTATCGCTCGACAGCTCCTATCGACACTCTTGGAATCCAGCCATGGCTTGGACGCTAGCTGTGTGCCCACGTATCCATATCGCGCGCGGCTGTGAGTGCAACGCGTACCTTCTTTTTCATCCTCTCTCCGTCTCTGCATCCCTCCGCCCTTCAGTCCCTCCCTCCCTCCCTCCGTCAGCCCTCCCTCCTTCCCCCTTCCCCTCGTTTCTTTCTCATCCCCCGCCCCTCTCTCCTCACTCGCCCCTCTTTCTCCTGTCTCCTCCCTCCCTCCCTCTTCCTTCCTCCTTCCTCCTTCCGCACTCCCTGTTCCCCCTCCTCTCTCCTTGCCTCATTCTGTTCTCACTGATATCCCTCTCCTCCCGTCCCTCTCCCCCTTCCGTTCCCTTCGCCATTTCTCCCTCTTCCTCGTCCCCTCTTCCGTGATCCCTCCGTCCTTCCAGAGTCCGACTCCGCCCCTCACCCCCCCCCATCCTTCGTCCCTGGGTGTCTGGGGCTGTGTCTCTGGAGCTGCTTCGGGGGCCCGCGTCCTGGCATGCTCAGGGGGCTCGGGGTCCTCCTCGGGGTCCGTGTGACCTGGAGGCAGGGCCCCTGCGGAAGGGGGCCTGAATTCCCCTCCGTGCGGAACAGTGTTCCGCGCTCGACGGAACACTGTTCCGGGGCGCTTGTGTTGGAGGCCGGACAGGCCAGGAAAGCGTACCCACGACCCTGGGCAGCGAGCAGACCAGTAAAGCGTATCCAGGGGGCGCTGTTTCTCTGGGCGGGGAACAGACCAGTAAAGCGTACCCACCCGGGCCTCGGCTCGCTGAAAGGACAGTTACAGGGATCCCGCCCCCCATGGGCGGCGATCAAGCCAGGAAATCGTACCCACCCCAGTCTGGGCGGGGAACGGACCAGGAAAGCGTACCCACCAGGGTCTGGGCGGCGAACAGACCAGTAAAGCGTACCCCCCAAACCAGCCGGCGGGCAAGTATTCCGCGAGTCCAGGAACACTGTTCCAGGACTCGCGGGGACGGGGTCCGCGGCGCGGGAGGGGCTCTGGGACGTGGCCCCAGGGAAGCAGGCACTCGCCTGGAACCCTGTGGGGTTCTCTTCCACCGAGGCAACGGCCCTCGGGCTCCAGGGGACGAACCTGTGGGAGGGGCGAGGAGGCCTTCAGGAATCCCCCGAAGGCGCCGTAGGAGACCGCAGAGCCACCAGGTCGGCCCAAGACCCGATGGCATTGCTCTTGTCTTGGGGCTCCAGGACCAGGTGCGGCCCACGACCGGGTCGTGGGGGCCGAAAACCAAGTCTGCCCCCGAGCCGTCTTCGAGACCCAAGGTGCTCGACGAAACTGGCGTGGAGCGCGTGCTCACGGACGAGGGCGCCGCCAAGGCTGGCAGGCACATGCGGATCGGTTCAGCATCGTTGTGAAGACGTCGAAGAATAATATAATATATTTGTTCGCTTCCCAATGTGTTTGGTGTCAGCCGCTGGTGCATTGAGCAAAAATGACCCCTTCGCGCGCGTGTTTGCCCCTTTGCGCGTTGGGGTTGCGCGGGTGTCAGAAATCGTCAACAGAAGTGCACTTGTGCTTGCGCAGTGTAATACTTCCGAGTGAAACTCACACGCGTGTTCTAGCGTTTACAAGTTGGCACGCACGCTGCAAAGAATATGTGCCGCGTGTTTCGGTGGCCCGTGGGGCCGCGCCACGGGGTTGAGCGAATTGACATAGCCCCCCTGCGTGACTGGCGACCGTGCGTGAGTAGGTCCATGAAACGGTACGCACAGAATACTGCGCGGAATAGCATTCCAAAAAATGCGGAACACCTTCCCGAATTGTGGAAGGTGGGTACGCTTTGCGGTGGGTACGCTTTACAGGTCCCTTGCCCCCGCCCAAGGAGATGGACAGGGGAAGGAGAAGACTCGCAAGCAGTGTTCCATTCAAAGCGAGTACCCAACGCAGGAGTATTGGAAAACACTGCCTCCAAGACGCTCCCGAGGCGCTTCCCATGAGACCGCATCACCCATCCGAGTGGCCTCAGACCCGCAACCCAAACATGGTGGCTGGATGTGCCGAAGACCAGTCGATGATCATTCGTCGGGTGTTTTGACAGATGCCCTCTGCCTGTATACGCATGTTCTCGCCCAATTCCCCACGCGTGCACGGCGAATGCTGAGAATGTCAGCCCAAGAGGCCCCGAAAAGACCCCCAAAGAGGCCCCCATGAAGCCCCCAAAGAGCTCCAATAAGCCTCCGAAAAGCGCACAAGAAGCCCTCAGGAACAACACACAACAACCGCCGGTTCCCCAAGGGGTCGGCGGTGTGGCGTAAGGCGAATCATCCAGCGTCCGCTCGCCCGCCCTGTAAACCCAGATAATGCGAGGTAGATCCCAACACTCGTCCAGAGAGGTCTGGAGAATCGTGGCGGCTACATTGCGAATCAATGGATAGCACAATCGTGATGACCTCAACGATCGGTCCCTCTCCTTGTGATGGGCCCCGCCGTTTTCTCATGTCCCGCCCGCCTGGAATCCCACTTCGTTCCTGGCGTCTCACTCTCTCTCTCTCTCTTTCTCAGGTTCTGGTCTCGAGGCGGAGGAAGAGTACGAAACAGGCGCGGAGGGCAAGGGCCCCTCTTCGTCCTTCCCCTCCTCCCTCCCCAGCTCTCCTCATCTTTCCTGTTCTTGGTCAACTGACCAAGACAACCTGCAAGAGTACCTGACACGTATGCTGTACGTTCTCTATTATTTCTTAGCTCATGGGATTTCTGACGAGGATCTTCTGCACAAGCTCTCCCTTGACTTAGGTCGGGCATGTTCCCCTATAGGCAGATTTTGGACGAAAGATCAAACATACTCACACAATGCCCAAACAAAGTGCAAGAACAGTAGAAAATCGCCCCCAGACTATTTTTGAACATTCCTCCTGTAGAGGGACGTGCCCGACTGAACCCTTGACATCGAAAGACCGCCTGGCGGCGCGCGCGGCCGTCGCGCGCTCCCTGCTCCCTCTGGCAAGGCGCGGACGGCGCACCGCCGACGTCCAACCACCACCTCCTTTGAGATGGTATAATTGATCAGGGATCGACCGTCCTGGCATGCCTAGAGGCCTACCGCGACATGTTCTTAGAACCCAACAATGTTCTATGAGCCAAAACAAGGTTCTTAGAACATTAGCCCGATGCTTTGAAACAAGACAGTTCCAGCCAGAAATGTTCTAAGAACATTTCGTGGAGACCACACAAGGTTCTTAGAACATTGTTTGGCAGGCCTATACGTACGCACGCCAGGACGGTTCGCCACTGCTTGGTATCAGACGGCTCGGGAGCCAACCGCGCGGAAACGCGCTCGCAGGCAAGGCGAAAGACCGCAGGAAGGAACGAAAGGAATCGACCCCCCCCCCCGCGGCGGGCGCCGGGGCAACCGCACATGCACGCGCCAGTCTTCAGGGCACCGCGTCCAGGGGAGCCAACCCCGAAAGCATTTTACAGCGCTCGCCCTCCCCGCAGCGTCAGGTCGGGCATGTTCTCTTACAACACGTTTTTTGGACGAAAAATTAAAAATAGTCTCAAAAATGCCCCAAAATAATCAAAAATGCTAGAAGTCGTCCACAGACTACTTTTTGACTATGTTTGAAGATGTCTCCTGTGGAGGGACACGCCCGACTTAACCGTAGCGCCTCACGCTGCAGCGAAGGCCCGGTCGCTCGACGGGCCCGTGCTTGACTCGCCAGGCCCGCGGGGCACCCGGCGCTGCTCACTCAGTCGCTCGCAGGCAGCTCCGCGCCTCGCGACGGCCTCGACGACCTCTTCTTCCAGCCGTCGTCATTTACGTGGTCTTTCTTGCTATCCACTTTTCCCAAAAAGTGAGCGTTTGCTTCTTCGGCGTTTCGACATTGGGCGGGGGGGGAGGGGGGGTCTGGCTCCAGACCTCTGCTTAATGCGACTGTTTGCTGCAGTGCGCCCCATCGGGGCGACTCCACCTGCTCGAAACAGGCGCCAAAAACAGCCAAGATCTACTCCAGGGGGGGGAGGGGCGGGGGGGCGCGAGGGCCCGCGCCGATCGGCAAAACAATACAACAACGACCACAAAGCCGGACGTTCACGTAGACTTTCTGGACTTATCCTTCCACTTGTTCTCGCGCCGTCCACTCCCCAAGCTCTGGTCTGCCACCAGTGGCACTGCCAGTTGCGGTAGCTCTGCTCCACCATTTTCCTGTACCTTTCTCTCGGTTCTTGTTTCTATCGCTTTCCCAACGGTCTTTGGGACAAGAAATATTCCAACCTCCTCTGCATCCGTTCTTGTTTCCATCGCGTCCACGCCCCTTCGGTCGAAAAGCGTACTTTCCGGCAGGTGTGCATCGTCAGCCCCACCGCTGTCGCGATCCCCTTCTCGTGCCAGACACCACCGGGGGAGGCAGAAGCAGCGCAGACCTGCCCGCCGACGCAGGCGATAGCATGCCCAGTCGGAGATTGCCTCTCCATCGAGGGCCCGCGCCAAGAAGGGCCGCGCGCGCAGCAGCAGAGGCTGCCGATCTTCTGGGGAGGGGACGGTGCCGTGCAGCTGACCCCTCGCGCGGGCAAGCTCGCGCGTTCGGGTGCACATACGGTGCCCCCGCTTCGCCTTGGGTCGCTCCCCTTCTCGTCGTTCCTACCTCGCTTCGCCTTGGGTCGCTCCCCCTCTCGTCGTTCCTACTTCTCTCTCTCTCTCTCTTTCCCGCGTGCTCCACTCCTGGCCGTCCCCCCTTGGTCCTCCATGCGGACACTGTGCTTGCTCCTCTCTTCCGCTCACCCTCGCCTCGGCCTCATCGTGCTCGTGGAAGAGGAGGAGGAGGAGGAGGATGAGGAGGAGGAGGAGGAGGAGGAGGAGGAGGAGGAGGAGACGGAGGAGGAGGATGAGGGATGAGGATGAGGAGGAGGAGGGGGAGGAGCTGGAGGAGGAGGAGCTGGAGGAGGAGGAGGAGATGGAGGAGGAGGAAGGAGGACACCCTCTCCTGCCCCCCTCCGGGTTCCCACTCCTTCTCCCGCCCGGCGAGGAGGTGTCGCGCGGCGGTCCAAGATGTCGTAGTCTCTCTCGACGGGGATGGTCAGCAGGTTCGAGATGGCCCTCTGGAGTCGCACAAGCGTTGAGAGAAGTGCAACACTACAGGAAGAAAAAACGCCATGAACACTACAGGAAGGAAAAGGGTAAAACTACAGGGAGGGGGGCCCAGCGCAGATCCAAGAAATCCGCGCGATATTCCTTCTTCAAAACACGCAGCTCCAGACGCCCAACGCAGGCAACCCTGTACCATGCACCATAGCCTGCGGAGTCTCCTATCCTGACGTCGTCTGGACATGCCCGTTGCGCCACTTCTCCCCTGAAGGTCGACAAGCACGACTTTCGGGGATCGACGGAGCCCCCTTTAGTAAAACGTGGTTCAGTGAAAACAACCTCGGGCACAAACCTGGCGGGCGCAAGCCCTCTCGAGAGCCGAAAACGGACAATTCACCACTCATCGACGTGTCATGGTCGGGGTTCTGTCCACCCCCGAGACTTGCGGACTCCTTCGACGACGGCAACCGTCGTCGCAAAATCCACGCCGATTGGCCCTGACTCCCGAAGCTCCCGCGCCGGAGCCCCCGAAGGAGCTCCTGCGCCAGGCCCCGAGGAAACCCTCGCGCTGATCCGCGTGCTGCTCCCGAGGCCCAAGCTGGACGTCCGTGGGCGAGGCCCCGGCCCCGACCCCCACGACGCCCTCCAGAGACATGTGAGCACGTGAGCGAGGAACAGGGTCTTTCGGCGGCGAGCGAGGGGGGGGAGAGAAGTGAGAAGGAGAAGGCCTTTTCAGAAGGCGGAGGGGCTTCTCAGAAACCCTGGCGCCTTCTGGAAAATTGTTTTTGTCGTCGGTGAAGGCTCAGGAAACTTCTCAGCAGCCCCGGGAGACTTCCGAGCCTTCTGAAAAGCCAGCCCTTTCCCACTTCCCCCCTCGCTCGCCACCGATCTTACGCGAGGAGGCATAGCGACCTTACGCGGTGGATCACGCGGGCCGCCAGCGCGGCACGCCACCCTTGGAGGCGAGGGCGCTCGCGCGCGACCTTACGCGGGCAGCTCGGGCGCGCGCGTCGCCGCGATCGAACCTGCTTCCTTCCGTCGCTCGCCTGCGCCGAAGACGCGCGGCCGCTGCTGCCGAACTTCGGGGCGCTCGGGGCGCGGGCGGCCGCCTCCCGCGCGGCCTTGCGACTTCGACGCTGCGGCCTCTGAGCTGCGCGCCCTGCAGCGGCAGGCCCCGGCCACGAGGGCCCCCGCGCCGCCCTCGCCACACGACGCCGCGGGAGCTTGTCCTCCTCCTCGCTCCTCGCTCCTCGCCTCTCGCTCCTCGCTCCTCCTCCTCCTCGCTCCTCCTCCTCCTCCTCCTCCATTCCTTCTCCGTCCTTCTCCTTCCAGTTTTAAGGGCGGGCCAGGCGTTTCGCCTGAGACTTCCCTACCATTTATGGTTCTGAAGGAGAAGTGGCAACAGTCTCACAGATGGAGGGCGGGTCGTTTTCAGAATGTGGTTTTCGCCCGAGCGCCGCGCGCATTCGTTTTCGAAATGTGTACGGGTTTCACGATTTGAAGGCTGGTCGTTTTCAACATGTGGTTCTCGCCTTAGCGCCGCGCGCAGTCGTTCTAGATTTGACAGAGGAAGAGCTTCACGGATGAAAGGCGAGTGGTTTTCAAAATGTGGCTCTCGCCTTAGCGCGGCGCACATTCACTTTAAACATTTGAAAGGGTTTCATGGATTGAGGGCGGGTCGTTTTCAAAATATGGCTCTCGCCTTAGCGCCGCGCGCATTCGTTTAACAAACATTCCAAGAGCTTCACGGATTGAGGGCGGTTCCTTTTCAAAATGTGGCTCTCGCCTTCGCGCCGCGCACATTCGTTTTTTTGTTTTAAAAAGTTTCACGGGTTCCCATGATCAGCGTACCACAAATGGTGTTTCGGAGAGGTTCCGGATTATGCGGGCGTAACAGTTATGTTGATTTGTTGTGTAAAAAGTCCAAGAAACTGCGTTCTGGCACGATTCCGGATCGTCAAGACGCAGCAGTCAGGTTGATACGTAGCGTTGAAATCCCGAGATTAATGATTTGGCACGGTTCAGGATCTTCAAACTGTTGTCTTCCAACGAAGCAGTTCCCTCAATGGAAATGAACCGTTCTAGGGGCCTATGAAGAGGGAGCTTCGTACTTCCAACATCGTTGATGACTCTTGGGATACCACTGGTCCTCCTCCTCCTCCTCCTTCTTCTGCTCCTCCCCCTCCTCCTCGCCAAGAGGGCGTGTCTGCGACACGGCGCCGGCCGCTGTGGGCACCGCGCGGGGGCACTCCGCGGACCGACCGGCGGCTGCCGCGAACGTGGAGCAGGGGCCAACCGTCCCGGGATTCCTACAGGCCTACCACGAGGTGTTCTTGGAACTCGCACATCTTCTCATAACAAACAGCAGCATTCTTAGATCATGACGCCCGATGTGTCAGAACGAGCCAGGATTGCATCAGCCAGAAATATTATAAGAACATTTCGTGCAGACCACAGAAGGCTCTTAGAACTCGCAAGCTATTATCATAACAAACGATGTTCTTGGAACATCAGCCTTGTGTCAGAACGAGGCGGTATCGGCCAGAAATGCTGTAAGAACATGTCGTGCAGACCCCAAAAGGTTCTCATAACATTCTTTGGTGGGCCTCGCAATGTTCTTAAAACAGGAGCCTGGTGTGTCAGAACAAGACGGTATCAGCCAGAAATATTCCAATATGTCGTGCAGACCCCAGAAAAAAAGGTTCTTAGAACATTATTTGGTGGGCCTATGGTCAAAGCAGGCCGCTGCGCCACTGCTCGATGATGCGGGTGTGTCTGCGACGCGACGGCCCCCGCTATGGTTAGGTCGGGTGTCCCCCGACAGGCGGATTTTGGACGAAAAATCAAAAAAAAAATTCAAACAATGCTCAAAACTAGTGAACAAAATGTCCCCTAACTATTTTTCACTAGTTTTGAAGATTCCACCTGTAGAGGGACATGCCCGACTTCAGGCTATGGGCATCGCTGTGGGGCAGTCCGCGGACTAACCGGCGGCTGCGCTAGGTGGACGCTTTACTGTTCGGCGTTTCGACATTGGGTTAGGTCGGGCATGTCCCCCTACAGGCGGATTTCGGGCGAAAAACAAAAGATTGCAACAAAACACAAAAATCATACAAAATTATTGAACATTGTCCGCATACTATGTTTGCTGCATTTTTTGAATGTTCCCCCTGTATAGGGACACGCCCGACATAAAAATTGGGCGGAAGGGGGGGGAGGGGGAGGGGTCTGGCTCCGGACCTCTGCTCAGTCCGACTGCTTGCAGCAGTGCGTCCCATGGGGGGGACTCCACCTGCGCAAAACAGGCGCCGAACACAGCCAAGATCTGCTCCACGGGTGGACCAGAAAACAAACGACACCACCCCACCTACGGACCCACGGGGCTTAGCGTAGAGCAGGAAATCTGGCATGGTGTCTCCGTGGTATACGCAACGGCCCCCCATGGGCCGTGGCGCAGCATGGAGTGGTGCCGGTTGTTGTTTGGTCGATTGGGGGGGGGAGGGGGGCGAGTGCGAGGGCCCGCGCCGATCGGCAAAACAGTGAATAGAACAACGATCACTACCGAGGGGGCTGCTTCGTGACTGGCGGCAGGCTCTTGCCACTGCTGCCGCGCGACTGTGCCCGCGGGCTGCCCTTGGGGCGACTTCCTAGTGCGAGCAGCGGCCGCACCGCGCCCGCCCCGCCGCGGGTGGGCGCGTGAAGAGGCGTGCCGAGTTTGCGGTCTGGTGGGTGCTGGCTAAGGCGGCGCGCCTGGGGGGGCAGTGAGAAGGGACGGGCCTTCTCAAAGGCTCGGAAGTTCCCCGGCCTTCGGAGACAGAGAAAACCTCTCAGAAGGCGCGAGGGCCTCTGAGAAGTCCCGCCGCCTTCTGAGAAGGTCTTCTCGCTTCCCCCCCTCGCTCGCCGCCGATGGCCGCCTGGTGATAGCCGCACGCTGCATGCTGGCGGCCATACTAGAAGAAACATAAAACTGGATAACACAGGCCGAGGTGCGTTCCAGCCAGGACCCCGAGGCGAAGCCAGCCGTGGCGACGAGGGCACCCAGCCAGGGAGGCCCGGAGAGGCAAAGAGACGAAAGAGCGCGGCATCCGACTCGGCATGTCTTTCCGTGCCCATGCTTGGCAATTGGCGGCGCAGATGGCCGTCTCCGGGAATCGTGAAGCCCGACATGTTGTTCAGGGGAACGAAGAATGGCATACACACAACTCGGAGGTCCGCGCGGATTCCTCGGTGTCCCCCGGCGGCGCCGGAGGAGGCGCCGCCCCTGGACCGCGCGCCAGGGAGGGGGTCCAGCGCCGGTCCAAGAAATTCGAGCGGGCCTCCGAATTTTTATGTGCATGTCATCATTCGTTCCCCTCTTGGTACCTCTTGGGGGCGTGTCTTCCGCCAGCTTCCGCCGGCGGAGCTTCCCTCGCCCTACTTCCGCAGGCTTCCACCGCCCTTCCGACGCCTTCCGCCGAGGGAGAGAGGGCAACTCCTTCGATCCTCGAAGGCGAGGCCCTCTCAGGAACGCCTCATATGTTGGACCTTCGCCCCCGATGTGCCGACTGTGCGAAAAGAAATGGGGCTTACGCGAGAAAACATGGCGACCTGACGCCGCAACTTACGTGGGCCGCCAACGTGGCACACCGTGTGGAGACGTGGACGCTTACGCGCGACCTTAATTAAGCGAACAAAAATTTACGCGCGAATGTCGGCGCTGTCGGGCCCGTTTCCTTCCGTCGCTCATATCTTCGGCGACTTCGAAGGATGTGGCTTGCAAATGGTGTGGTTTGCAACCAGCACCCTGGGGGGAGGCAGAGGACCTCGACAGAGTCAGAGCTCTCTGTCGCGCCCCGAGGCGGCCAGCCGAGGACAGCGTCGTCCTCCCCAGGCCCCAACGGCGCCGATCGCCAACCACACCCCGGCGTAAACTCACCGCTTGTAGTCGCTCGTCTGTGCTGACCTCGCCACCGACTTGCCGATTGGGCTCGCCCAGGGGACCCTCGCGCCTGCTCGAGCCATGGCGCATGCCAGCGGGGCAGGCTGGGGGCACCATCGGCTGTCTGGCTTTGGAGGCGCTCGATGGCAAGTCTGCTCTTGAGGGCCAAGAGTTACCTGCCGTAAGGCCATCCCAATCATGGTCGTTTCCTTGGTCTCAAGGTGGAGTCGAATTAAGCAGGAGGGGCAGAGGATGCAGACTAGGAGGACGGGGAGGAGACAGCGAGGGGGGGCACGGACTGCAAACATCAGGCAGTCAGAAAAGACATCTAAAGCGCAAGTATCCGCCACGAAATATCCGCCACAATGAGGACTCATGCATCTGACTGGAGAACGTACGATAATCCCCGTTAACTCCCCCCCGTTCCCTCCGTGGCGGGGGGGTCTGGCCGCCATATGAGGGTAACGGTGATACATCGGCGATGCATCGGCGATGCGCCAGCGATACATCGTCGACGTCGGCGATGCATCGGTGACGTCGACGTGAAGCAAGCCGGGCTGCACATCGAGTCGCATCGGCGATGCATCGGCGATGCGGCGCGACCCTCCGACCCCATCTACTCCGACCCCATCTAAGACTCTAAGCTTAGGTCGGGCCTGTCCCCCTAAATACAAGCGGATTTTGGACGAAAAATGGAAAATACTCCAACCATGCTCAGAAATAGTCAAACATTCGTACCCGCACTATTTCTTGACTATTCTTGAAGATTCCCCCTCTAGAGGGACAGGCCCGACTTCACTCCAGGAGGCCTCCATGGAGGGACGCTGGGCTGGACCACTCGGAGAGGGGACGCGCCACGGGTGCGCGCTGCAGGGGGGGGGCCTCTGGCTCGCGAAGCGCAGGAACTCGTTGTGCGGGCTCGCCGAGAAGACCTCCGAGGGGCCACTGCGCGCGGACCAGTCGCCGTCGCCGTCGCCGTCGTCGTCGTCGTCGTCGTCGTCGTCGTCGTCGTCGTCGTCATGAACGTCGTCGTCGTCGTCGTCGTCGTGGTCATGAACGTCGTCGTCGTCGTCGTCGTCGTCGTCGTCATCAACGTCGTCGTCGTCGTCGTCGTCGTCGTCGTCGTCGTCGTCATGAACGTCGTCGTCGTCGTCGTCGTCGTCATGAACGTCGTCGTCGTCGTCGTCGTCGTCATGAACGTCGTCGTCGTCGTCGTCGTCGTCGTCCTCCCGAGGGCGACCCGACCAGGGCGGCAGGCGCGGGCAGAGGCACCACAGCGCGAGGGGGCCGCACGCCAGCACGGCGCATGCTTCGGGGGGCCTGCTGAGGCATCCGCCCCGGGGCCCGAGCTCTCCCGAGCCCTTGAGATCCCCAGGCGCAAGGGGGGGAGGAGGAGGAGGAGGCTCTGGAGACTCTGGATGACGACGAGGTGTGCCGAGAACGATGCGGAGGAGGAGGAGGAGGAGGAGGAGGAGGAGGAGGAGGAGGAGGAGGCGGCAATCCTACGTCGAATCCTGACGCTTCCTCCGTCGTAGGCGGCAAACCGATGGGCAAGCGCGGCGGGTTCATAAACTGTCCGAAAATGAGCGCGGCGATGGTGACAACGGCGAGGTGTAGCTACCCGTTTCGGCCCAGCTGCCGAGTCCCTTTTCCAGAGTCCCGTGATCAATAAGATTATGGAACAGACATCGGGTGCGCAACCTTGTACTCTGCCTTCTATTGAGACGTTTATTGAATCCCCAGGAGATTTCGGGGGGGCGCGCAAACATGGATTAACGATCCATGGATTTGGCGCGCCGTCGCCAAATCCTTGGATCGGGGGAGGTGCCCTCCCCAAATCACGGCTGGTGCCGCCTCGTTCGGCGGCGGACATCCGCGATTTTCCATGGAAACGGGACCGGTCGTTAATCCACGCCCCCTTGATCCATGTTTGCGATCGCCCGATTCATCGCAGGCGACCGACACACCGATGGGCAAACGCGGTGGGGCGCACCCTTCTACTCTGCCTTCTACTGAGACGTTTACTGCAGCCCCAGGAGATCCCAGGCGGCCCCACGAGGCCCCAACAGGTCGAAGGATCCCTCACGAGGCCCTTGGAGTCGCAGGCGACTGGACGACCTTCTCATAGGCCCTGGGAGGCACCAGGCCTCACGAGGAGGCTTCAGGAAACCTTCGAGCGAGCGCACCCGTGGAAACCTCCCCCCTTTGGACCTCCCCTGCTGGAAGCCCCCTCCCTCCCCCGCTTGTTTTCCGCCCCTCGGAAACTACCCCCCCACCTCTCGCGTTCCGAAAGCTACCCCCTCCCTTTCCAAAAGGGGGGGGGCGCTTAGCTACCCCCCCCCCACACCTTGGACCTCCCCTGCCGGAAGAACCCCCCCACCCCACCACTGCCTTTTTTTCGGCCCCTCGGAAGCTACCCCCAGCCCCTCCCCTTCCAAAGAGGGCGGGGGGGCCTAGCTACTCCGCCCCTTGGACCTCCCTTGTTGGAAGCTCTCTCCCCCTCCTTTTTGCTCCGCCCCTCGGAAGCTACCCTCGGGGATCTTCTGACCAGGGTCAATCCAAACCCGGGTCAGTCAGGCCTTGCAGAATCCTGCAAGATCCTGCACCCAAACCCGGGTCAATGCGAAGGATCATTCAAGATCCTGCAGGATCCTGCACCCAGACCCGAGCCAATGCGACCCTGACCCTGCAAGATCCGGCGCTCTGGCTGACCCCCGTTTGCATTGACCCCCGTCTCTGGAGCCCCGATACCCCACGCCCCCCTTTCGCTCTCCGGGAGCTACCCCCTCCTTCCAGGGGGGGGGTCTTAGCTGCCCCCCATTGGACCTCCCCTGCCGGAAGCCCTCCGCCCCTCTCTTCTTAGCCCCTGGGAAGCTACCCCACTCTCCCCCTGAGAGGCGGCGAAAACCAAGAGGACGCCGAACAGCAACGATGCGCCGAAAACCAAGCAGGCGCCAAAAATCAAAAGGCCCAGAAAAACAGAAGGGGGCGAACACCAATAAGGCACCAACAACCCAAGTGGCGCAACCCAAAAGGAGCGCCGAAAACCAAACGGGTGCAGAAAACCAGGAGAGCGCCGAAAACCAGGAGAGAACCGAAAACCTCAGGGGCGCCCGATACCAAAAGGGCGCCGCAAACCAACAGGTCGCCACACTCAAAGGATGCGCAGGAAACCAACAGGTCGCCGAAAACCAAAGGAGCGCCGAGAACCAAAGCGGTGCCAAAAACCAAAAAGGCGCCGAATACCAAAAAGGCGCCGAATACCAAAACGGCGCCGAATACCAAAGGGACGCCGAAAACCAAACGAGCGCCGACAACCAACAGGGCACCGAAAACCAGAGGGGCGCCGAATACCCAAAGAACGCCGAAACCAAAAAAAGAGCTGCCGGAAACCTAAAGAGAACAAAAACGAGCAAAAACCAAAACAACGCCAAAAACCATAGGGGCGCCGGCCACCACAGGAGCGACGCCCCAAACCAAAGAGGCACCCAAAACCAAAGGATCGCCGAACACGAAAAAGGCGCCGAAAACACCAAGGGTACCGAAAACAACTGAAGCGTCGGAAAGCAACGAGGCGCTGACAATCAAAAAGGCACCGAAAACGAATCGGGCGCTGAAAACCAAAGGAGCGCCGACAACGAAGGGGCGCCGAAAACCACAAGGTCGCATAAAACCAGAAAGGGGCGCCGAACACCAAGGTCGCCGAAAAACAACAAAAGGGGTAGCAATTACCAAAGGGACGCAGAAAACCAAAGTGGCACCGAAAACCAAAGGAGCGCCGAAAATAAAAACAGCGCCGAACACCACAAGGTCGCCGAAAAACCCAAGAGGCGCCGAAAACCAAAGGAGCGCCGAAAATCAAGGGGACGCCAAAAACCTAAAGGGCGGGCGCTGAAACATGAAAGGGCGCCGAAAAACAAAAAAGAGCGACGACAACCAAAACGGCGCCGAATACAAAAAGGGCGACGACAAAAAAACACCGAAAACCAAAAAGGCGCCGACAACCAAACGGGCACCAGTGCCGAAAACCAAAGGGACGCCGAATACCAAATATGCGCCGACAGCCAACAGGGCGCCGAAAACCAAAGGGAAGCCAAAAACCAGCACACCAAAGGGGCGCCGCAAACCAAAGGAGCGTCGAAAACTGCAAGGGCGTCGAAAATCAAAAGAACGCCGACAGCCAGCCGGAAGCGACTGAAACCGGGAGGTTATCCAAGACTTACTTCTGGAGTTAAATCGGCCCGACTCCAGGGTAAAGGCCCACCCGCGGAAAACCTAACCCCGGAGTTCAGTCGCCGCCAAGCTGGCGGACGCACCAGCTACTACACGAATTAACTCCGGAGTTACATGATTCCCACGCCGCGCGCCCCAGCCAGGCACAAACGTAACTGCGGAGATAAGTCGCCGCGGCATTGGGTTGGGTGCCGCGGCGATTGAGAAGACGGGAAGTGGAAGAGGAGGATGAAGAGGAGGGCGACGACGAGGAATATGAGGAGGAGTGAGGAAGACGAGGAGGAGGGGGAGGAGGAGGAGGAGGAAGAGGAGGAGGAGGAGGAGGAGGACAAGCTAGGTGCGCTCGCGTCATATCTGACATCCTACTCCTCCCTCCCATCCTTTCCACGGCGTAGATCCCCTCTCTACCCGCGCAGTCGGATGTCGAGGAGGGCAATGATCCCGAAAATGGTACGCGATGCATTGTAGTAGTATGTCACAGCATGGCGTGGCGTGGCGTAGTGAAGAATTGCATCGCGAAGTTTTGCAACGCAAAGCATGGCATCGCACAGCGGCCGCGAGCATAATATTGCATAGCATGGCGTGGGGGATCTAAGCGTAGCATGGCATAGCGAGACGAGGCACTTAAGCGCTGCATATCACAGCTTCAGCTGAAGGCATGGCATCGCGCAGCGGAGCGCACCCTAGCATTGCGTTGCACGCCGTGGCACGGCACTGGAAATGACGCCAGCGCTGCAGCGGGAGCACGATTCGGAACGAGCGGAAGCGCGGAAATGAAGCCAGCGCTTCAGCGGGAGCTCGATTCGGAACGAGCGGAAGCATGGGCATGAGGCCAGCGCTGCAGCGGAGGCGCGAGTCGAAACGAGCAGGGCCCGAAAATGAGGCCGGAGAGACCGCGAGAACAGCATTTTGAAACAATTCAAGCGAAAACCCAACTCCAGGGAATCCTGCGCGCACCAAAAACAGCGCGCGGGGTGGGGGGGTGGGGGGGGGCGAACGCTCCCAACCCGTCATCAGGGGAAGGAGGAGAGTAGTAATCATATTGAGTAACTGTGGAGGAGGAGGGGGGGCATCAGGGCACGGGGGGCCGAACGCCGCAGCGCCAAAACAAATTCGGCGAATCAGAAACCCATGATGCGGCTGCTGGGCGGCGGGGACATTGAATCGCAAGATGCGCCCCCAAAGCCCCGTCGCTGTACTCCCGCGAAAAAGGGGGGGCGACGAGGACGGGGAACGCATGGGCCAAGCCCCTCGGGGTCAAGCGGTCGCGCGTTCAGCTCGCAGGGAAGGGGGGGGGGGATAGGAGGAGGAGGAGATGGAGGCATGCGCGCGGCGCATCAAGACTCCTGCGCCCGCAATGTCACCCCGCGCACCCCACGGCGCGCAATATCACAGCGCAATGGATTTCAGAAGGTCCGATCAAGAACCATGTAATGTTGTCGGCGAACTTCTGGCACGCCGGAATGTATTGCTGCACCTTATCCCGTATGCGGACAAGGCGACCTGCGCGCGACATGGCAGGTGATGCTCGCGCGCAACTGAACAGAAGAGGACGAATGGGGGCGAGGCGGAGGAGGAAAGGAAGAGGGTGGGAGATGGACAGGAGGAGGAAAAGAAGGAAGGAAAGGATAATGACGAGGGAGAGTTTGCGGAGCCACTTGGCGACTTGAGCAAATTGCAATCGCGTCGCGTGTGAACG